ATAGATAGATAGATAGATAGATAGATAGATAGATAGATAGATAGATAATTGATAGAGATTGATAGAGATATAGAGAGATAGGGATTGATAGATATAGATAGATAAATATAAAGATATTTATATACATATATATTTACAGAGATAGATATAGATAGAAAGATGTTGATAGAGATTGATAGAGAGAGATTGAAAGGGATTGATAGATATAGATAGATAAATATATAGATATTTATATACATATTACAGAGATAGATATAGATAGAATGATAGGGATTGATAGAGATAGATAGGGATTGATAGAGATAGATAGATAGATAGATAGATAGATAGATAGATAGATAGATAGATAGATAGATAAATATAGATATGTATCTACACATATATTTACAGAGATAGATATCGATAGAGATATAGAAAGATTGATAGAGATTGTTAGATAGAGATAGATATCAATTTAATTTAAAGCTAATTGAAACTAAGTGGATTAGTTAATACCAAATCCCTTTACAGGTGCAATCCTTTTTTTTTACTCTGAAAAATGTATTCTGATGCAACTTCTTAGGGCCTTCAAGCAACGTCTCCTAGACCTTTAGCCCCAGTTTACCATGATCTGCCAACCCAGGAATGGCTTCTTTTATATTTTTTTTTGCAGCCGGCAGAGAGAATTCCCTTAGGCTCTGCAGTGCGTCAGAATTGGAAGACGAGATCTGGTTCGCTGCACATTTGCCCTCTGAATGCAAAGCATTGCACAGCCTTAATATTTACCCAGGCTATAGGCATAACCTTTCACGATGGTTAATTCACGGGGAGTACTGTTTAGGTCAAGGCCCCCCAATCTGTGGGTCGTAGCCCACACTTACCGGGCTGTAGCCCTATTCGTGGGAATGTCGAAACAACTAATATTCTGCTCTCGTTCATGATCATAAGAATTTAGAATTCTTTATTGGCCACACAATTCTTTATTGGGATTGGACACACAAGGAATTTGTCTCTGGTGCAGAAGCTCTCAGTGTACCCACAGCAGTGATAGATCATCATCGTAGTCATTGTAAAAATACATTGGGGATTACCTTTATTTAGAACGATCTGGGGATTAACAGATTAACAAGAGTTGGAAGGGACCTTGTAGGTCATCTAGTCCAACCCCCCACCCAAGCGGGAAACCCTACACTGTTTCTGACAGATGGCAGTCCAGGCTCTTCTTGAAAGTCTCCAGTGATGAAGCTCCCACAACTTCCAAAGGCAACTTCTGTTCCACGGATTGATTGTTCTCAGTGTCAGAAAATTCCTCCTTATTTCTAAGTTGAATCTCTCCTTGTTCAGTTTCCATCCATTATTCCTTGTCTGGCCTTTGTGTGCCTTGGAAAATAGCTTGAGTCCTTCCTCTCTGTGGTAGCCCCTCAAATATTGGAAGGCTGCTCTCCTGTCTCCCCTGGTCCTTCTCTTCCCTAGACTAGCCAGGCCCAGTTCCAGCAACCAGTTCTTCGTATGTTTTAGCCTCCAGTCCCCTCATCATCCTGGTTGCTCTTCTCTGCCCTCTTTCTAGAGTCTCAACATCTTTTTATAGTGTGGTGACCAAAACTGAATGCAGGACTCTAGGTGTGGCCTTACTAAGGCTTTATATTAACTTCTCCTTAGTTCCTCCGGTGAGTAAGGTGTTTAATTATGGTGAGCACATTATGGTGCTTTAATTATGGTCACATTATGGTGAGCATATACAAACGCATGTGGTCTTAGCCTGTTCACTCCAGCTCTCGGGAGCAATATGAAATGATCGGGGATCCCTTCTGTCCTAAGGTGGATGCCAAGGTGCCCCCTGGCCCTCCTGACTACATGGCCCCGGAAGTCCTCAGTGCTTTGAACAACAGCAAAGCTTCCTATGGACCAGAATGTGACTGGTGGTCTCTAGGGGTGGTTGCTTATGAAATGATCTACAGGAAATCGCCGTTTGCTGAAGGGACCTCAACTAAAACGTCCAACAACATCATGAATTTTCAGGTAACAACGGAGCGTCTCTTAAGTGTTCTGACCCAGCTCTCCAAACAGGACAAACCCTCTAAAGTTAACTCAAAAGGTTCCTTTATTAGGAGAGCCAGCTGGCCCGGCGCAAAAGTTTCTGACTGCAGGCTAACAAGTCCATCTGTCCGGCAAGGAGATGAATAGTTGTCTGCCACATCTATTCATCTCCGCCCCCTGACTTTTATCCCCAGAGCTAGGGTGGGGCTTCTCTAGCAGCGGTGACTCTTCCGTCCCAAGGTCCGGCCCATAGATTTCCACTGCCCTCCTCTCCTCTGCCTTCTGTGCATCTGTGCGTCAGGGTTTCCTGCCCAGGCAGGGGGTTGGACTACAAGACCTCCAAGGTCCGTTCCAACTCCGTTGTTCTGTTCTAATCTAATCTAATCTATTTTTTTCTAAACTTTCCTAATTTCTTCCCTTCCCTTCCCTTCCCTTCCCTTCCCTTCTCTATTCCTATTCCTATTCTATTCTATTCTCCTTTTCTCCTTTCTTCCTTCTCTTTTCTCCATTTTATTCTATTCTATTCTGAAGAAAGAGAGGGTGCTTTTTTGGACTATTTTTATTTGCTTTGAATTTGGCAAGCTTTGAGAATTTTTCCTCTCTTACCCATCAAGTGAGATTTTTATTTTTATTTTTTTTTCCGTTTCAAATGTAGAGGTTCCTAAAATTCCCGGAGGACGTCAAGGTTAGCCACGAATGTCTCGACCTGCTGCAGAGTTTACTGTGTGGGCTGAAAGAACGATTGGACTACAAAGGCCTGTGCTGCCACCCGTTCTTTGCCAATGTCGACTGGAATGCCATCTGTAACGGTGAGTGACAGCCCACGCCTGTTATGCAAGCCCTTGATCTGTGGGGTCGGGTGGTCCAGGAACATGGTTTCAAAGCATTTGTGTCGAAGCTGGGACAAACCTCCTTTGGCTTGGAGGTAAAGGTTTGTCTATCCCTCGAGTGTGACTCTAGGGCATGGGTGCGCCTCTCTGTTTTTTTGGCCAAAGGAGCCAGCATTGTCCGAAGACAATTTCCGTGGTTATTTGTCCAGCCTGGCTATACACCAAAGACCCACAGAGTGCTGTTACCTTCCCACAGGAGTGGTACTTAGGTTCTGACCCAGTTTCCCAAACCCCCTGAAGTTAACTCAAAGAGGAGTTAACTTTAAGAGGAGTGCCGGCAGCCCCGGCACAAAAGTTTCTCTCTCACCGCAGGCTAACAAATCTGTCCGGCAAGGAGATGAATAGTTGTCTGCCACATCTATTCATCTCCGCCCCCTGACTTTTATTCCCAGAGCTAGGGTGGGGCTTCGCTAGCAGCGGTGGCTCTTCCGTCCCAAGGTCCGGCTCATAGATTTCCACTGCTCTCCTCTCCTCTGCCTTCTGGGCATCCATGCGTCAGGCACTGGGCCCAGCTGTTCCTCCTCTTCCTCATCAGCCACCTCCAGACCTGGGGGCTGTTGACTCTCCATCAGAGGGCTGACGGATGGCCCAGGCTTCGCCTCTTTCTGACAGCTCCATTCCCCCTTCCCCCTTGGAGCTCCCAGGTTGCTTGGATGCTGACCCTGACTCCCACACCTCCTTCTCCTCGTCTGATTTGGCTGTGGGAGGGGCCAGCGGCCGACAGGCCACCACAACCTATTTATCTACTGGCAGTTGCATGCTTTGGAGCTGCTAGGTGGGCAGGCGTTGGAGCGAGAAACAGGAGCTCGCCCATTGCAGGCTGCTCGGGTCTCAAACTGAGGTCTCTAAATGCCATTGGCTCAGAGAGGCAATGAAGAAGGAATTTGCCCCGATTAAGACGGCCTTCCACAAAGTTGGGGCAAAACGGCGATTGATTTAAAACAAAACTTGGCATTTCGCTGATCCATTTCAAGCTGATTCTGTCTTTAGGTGGGGTTCACTCTGACCACTGTTTAATGAAAGATTTACGCCTGGAAGGATAAATTTGCATTTTTCTGTTCCGGATCCTTTGATATGTATTACCTTATACAGGGGTTATTTGTTGCGTTCCTTCGATTCAGAAGGAGAGGCTGTTTCCAGCATTACTGGTTAACGAAGTTTCTGCTAAAGCCTCTTCCTACTGTATATAAAAATGAGAAAATGTAGTTCATGGATGTAAATCTCTATAAATCACGAAAACCGTAATTTTCATCCCCTGTCTCCCCCTACTACAAATTGTGAGAATAAACTATAAATGAATTACTATTGTAACCCACGCAACTTCCTTTCCTTTCCTTTCCTTTCCTTTCCTTTCCTTTCCTTTCCTTT